TTAAATAGAACCAACAGCATTGCTTTCCTAAGCCATTAAATCTAACCAACAGCCTAAGATATAAAGTGCTTACTATAATCTCTCTTTTCTTGTAATGATTTCCTTAATGAAGCAAACCAACAAACCCAAAGCCACTGCATATAAATGGTCTATTCTAAAGACTAGATCATTTGGGGGGGGGGGGGAGTGACGTAACTAGTGAAAGTGGTTCAGACACATGCAGTACAATCCCATCCTCGACTGTCAGGTGGGCACGTGACTCAATGACAGAGCAAGAATTCACACATAGGTGTGGCTTGCAGAGCAGAAAATGCCGTATCTTCAACTTGAGTAAGACCTTCCAGCATTTCAAAATAAAAATGACATGATGAGTGATATTTTTTAACATATTAACTTTACCCAATTTCTCTGTCAGTTCAGCTACACTACGACCATCTTTCTTCTTCTTTCCTCAAATGGCACCCAATAGAGCACCATTAACACCAATTTACTAGAAAAATATTAAGTGGTAACAAGCAAAAGCTCCTATGGGATATACCTGCATCTCTTCAACCCACTGTTTCAATTACATGTCTCTAAGCATTACTAGATGAACATACAAGATACATAATCCTATTCAACACGTTTTAGTTCATGAAAATTGGTATGCAAGCAATTTGGGTTTTCCCATTGAATATCCTAGCTGTATACATCTGTAGATGTTCTTTGTTGATGAATGCACTGTGGCAGCTGCTTTGATCTTCCCAGGCAAGGTCACGTTACAGCGTCGCTGTGCAAAGGCAATGACATGGGTTCATTGTAAACAGGGAGGACAGAGAGAGACTCGCTCTGAGGCTGCAGCCTCTGCAGCCCTTTTCTGGATCCCTCAGGACAAGAACCCACGCAATGCACTCAGCAGTCCCATGCTAAGACACAGGACTAGCTATCCCGTGAGAGTGCTTAGGGGCCGTCAAGCTGGTTCCAGCTCCTAGCAGCCCCCACACATCAGGACCGCAGACTGCCTTGTCCCAAGCCACCCTCATTCCTATAGCTATGACTATAGCATCGAATGACTGGAATGGACGTGAACGGGCTCCTCTGAAGACAAACGTCTCCCGTCGACATCACAGTGCAGCTGCTAAAACACAAACGCTGTTTCGGTTCCCTCTGGATAAATTCTGACCTGCCCTTTCCACTGAATTTCAAGCTTAACATTCTACAGTAACCAAATCTGACAGAAAGCACATGAGACAAAGTGATCCACAATGGGAAACAGGAATAAGGTTCCACAACAAGCAACCTATTATTGAAAGAAACGGGGGAAAAATCCGAGTAACCGGGCTCGGGAGAGGGAAGGATCTGGACCAGATCCCGTGCTCTCCCTGAAAGAGAAGTAGCAAGCATTGTCTGTTTGACAGCTGTCTACTGTCCTCCTGAGCCCCGGTGGCACTGAAGGGTTAGCACTGGGCTGCTAACTGCAAGGTTGGCAGTTCAAATTCACCAGCTACTCCAGGGGAGAAAGATGAGGCTGTCTTCTCTTGAAAATATGACAGTCTCAGAAACCTTAACAAGGAGTTCTACTCTGCCCTACAGGGGTTGTTAGGAGCCTGAATCCACTCAATAACAGGGGTGGGTGGGTATTGTTTCATTTTTTATCTATTAATCTGTAGGTAAACAAAGGTACTTGATGTAGGCATGTTTTCAGCGATTAAAAGATGTCTTAATTACATCTGTGCATTATCACTGAAGGTATCACACACATTCAAAAATCATCAGACTGCAAAAGGCATAAAATAAACAACTTTATATAAATAAGCCTTCTTTCAAATTGTGGTCTAAGTAGATAGCTTGAGTCTAAAAACCTCTAATAGCCTCAGACGAGCTGGGAGATTCAATGTGTAAACGATATGTTTTCAGAATAATGTTATCTTAGAAAATCTACTAGCATCTCAAAGGGGGGGTTGCCTTTCTTTCAACTCGAATAGCTTGTGTGCTAACGCTGCTTAACATTCTCATTACAACACATCTGAGATTGCAAAGACTGCCTATATGATTACAGGAAACAGCAGTCTTACAAGAAGGTCCTCCAGTCCAGTGCGAAAGAAGGGACAGGCAGGGTTTGAAGGTACCCATGGTGTTGATGATCTGCAGAAGCATGGATAAGCACGACGAAATTTAAGTTTAAGGGCACTTTCACCAGAAAAAGCAAATGTCTTCGGTACAGGTTTGACTAAGGTGACCAGATTTTAACATTGCTAAAGCAGGACACCATTGATAAAACTCATATCCTGGCGAAATAGCCACATGGCAGCCGAAAACTGTATACCCTAGCTTGTTGTGCATTCTTTCCAAAAATTGGGACTTTTTAAAAACGCCGCGGGACACGGGAAAAATTGTTAAAAATCGGGACTGTCCGGCCCAAAGCTGGACATCTGGTCACCTTAGGTTTGACCCACAAGTGATAATGCAACCACGGAGACTGGACAATCATAGTGGACAAGCAAAGGAAGGAATTCCAGGAAGCATGAAATGGGAGCCCTTGAACTAAAAGTGAATGAATGCATGCCCCGCCAACACTCAGCGCCACTCCAGCATGTGCTACAAGCCGTGTTTCAAGTACACAATCGCCCCATGGGACAGGAGGCCACCGCAGGCTGCATAGCACAAGAACAGTAACAATGCTGTTGTAAGGCTGGGGAGGACATGCCAGCGCCCTCAATCACACCACCTCAGGGCACCAAAATGACCACGAGTCCTGATTCAAGTGACTTCTAACAAGAGATATGAGGATTTATGATACATTGGGAGACTACAATTAGGGGAAAAACTCAATGATCAATCAGAGTCATTGAAAAAGGTTTCCAGTTGGTCAGAAAGACCTTTTTTCAGTCCAATGTCAAAGGCATTAAGAACAACCTCTATTGTCCACAAGCTCAACAGACTCACCTGAGAAGCAGTGATGAGGAGTCATAAGGAGCAGCCACCGGAGGTACTGCTAGGGCAATGACAACACCGCTACCTCTACAAGCGGCTTGGGAGAAGAAAGCATTCCTATTCTTCCCTCTGATGGGGTTAAATATTCACTGTGTCGGTGATACGACAGCACTGAAATGAGCTATACTGTAAGGTATAGTAAGGGTGATCTCTATTGTAAGGTGACGAGTATTATAGAAAGAATAGGAAGTAGAGCGGGTTGAATTGGGTTCCCCCACAGGATGTACTCCAGTCCTCACCCTTGGTACCTCGATGGAGAAGGGGTCTATGAATATGTAAACAAATGAAGGTGCGGGCACACCGGGGTGGGGTAGGTACTAGATCCAAGACCAACATCTTTATGAGAGAGAGGAGGGGGCTCTGATAGAGACAGGTGGTGTGGGGGAGCCCAAGTGATGAAGGAGGCAGAGATTGGAGCGAGGCAGCAGGGTGCCTAAGAACACAAGAACTGCTGGTGATTACCAGAAGAGAGAGCGAGCACGCGTCAGAGAAGGACTCTCCCCTGGAGCCTTCGTAGAGGCGGTCTGATGGACATTTCGATGACACACTTCTTGCCTCCAGAACCATGAAAGGGTAACTGTCTGTTGTTCTAAGTCACCCACTTGGTGGGGACTTGTGTGGCAACCCCAAGACGCAAATACAAGTAAGCACGAATAGAAATAAAAATAAACCTACAAGGAAAAAAGTACCATATAGACTCATGTATAATGCCATTTTTGTGGTAAAATTAGGTGCTTCGGCCGATATTCGGGTCGGCTTACACTTGAGTATATACGGGCAGTGGGATGTATGACTTTCTTTAATATTTGTTTGGGAATAGAGAGTTGAAGGGGGAAAAAACTACTGTTAGCTGAATTTTTTTTCCACTTTATACCAGAAAGACACTATGTTACTGACATTCAGCCCCGAATTTCAACTCCACATAAAAGCAACATGGTGTGTATACTTTTAGAAACAACGCTATCAATACTCTTCTGAAAACTTTTTCTCAAAGTTCCATATCATTCTTGGACATGTGTTCCATGATGAACTGTAATGGGGCTAATTTGACTTCTTTTGTCTGAATCTGAAGTACAAGTTACACAAGTCTTATCAATAGCACATATGGATCATGACTAAGACCTTCTCTGAGAGCATGGGCCTCTGGCCAGTGCTGGATTCCTCGTCTTCTGTGCCAGCAGCGTCCACAGGATCAGGCAGCGAGCAGCACTCTCAGGTGCAAGGACCAGATACCAGCTGGACGCAGGCTCAGCGAGCAAGACATAGCAGGGAGCAAACTCAGTCACTGCGTTACTGTCAGGGTCAAGCACAGGAGTACACGTAAAGGCCTTTGGAGTTCCACAGGTGTTCCATTTTACAGCAGAGGTGCCAGCCTTGGCCAGTGTGTATGTGTTGATTCTGTAGTCAATGCACACATGTAATTGGGAACGCCATTCCAACTCACATGGCCTTCCTTCCACAGCTCGTAAAGGGCTACCATGTGCATTAGCACCAAGTACTACTCAATTGCTATCCCGGTTGTACAGATGGAGAAACTGAGCCCCAGAGGGAGGGACTTGGTCCTTGTTACGAACCGACAGGTGGGCATCTGCTCCAGGCGGGAGCTCTTTGCTGCGACACTGTGGAGCCTGCAGAAACAAGTTCCTTTTTCACCATCGGAACAGGACAAAGCCCAGGTCACTGGTTTCTTTTTCCTCCCTCTGGGTCCAGGCTGGTCCTCAGCCACAACACCTATGTGTGTGTGGGGGGGGTGGGGGTGGGGGGGGTGCTGTTTGTATCTAGAACATAAGCCACATCCTGAGTGGGGTTTTGGATTTAACAATGACTTGGTTGGTTGCTAATCAACACCTAACACACAGACTCGGTCATGAAATGAAGAGGCCTTGAGGGTCAGCTGGTCTGTTTCCATTTCA